GCTTCTCCGCCTTCGCGGTGCCGGAGGAGGTGCCGAGAGCGGCGGGAGCCGCGGCACCATCGCTCGGTGCCGGACCCGACACGCGTTATCCCGGGCTGGTAAACAAAGGGCCGGAGCCGAGCGTCCGCCGGCCGCTCCCACGAGGGGTCCCGGTGCCCGCGCGGTGCCGGCCCCGCACCAGGAGGGACACGAGGCGGCTGCGAGGGGCGGGAGGCGGCGGTGAGGGGCGGCTGCGGCGGCTGCAGCCCCAAACACGCACCCGCAGTCGCCAGCCCCGCTCTGCTCCACGGCTGCAGCATCTTCCTGCAGCTGCGCCGCGGCCGGAACACGGCGCTTACATAACGCCTGCTCCCCAAAACGCCGCTGCCCTGCCCCGGCACCCCCCGAGCCCCGCCGGTCCCCCAACCCAGGGTGGGCACCCCCAGCCCCCCGGCTCCCCGGCCAGCGGCACCGCCAGGCGGTGGGGGCTCAGCCCCAGCTCCCTCTTCCTCCCTCTCACCATCACCATCCTCCCTGTTGTTATTATTCCGTTTCAATCCCGGAGATGCCTTCAGAGGCAACGCAGCCCCCGGATTCCTCCGCGCTCCAGCCCGGGAAACAAAATGCCGCCCGGCTGCGGCAGCGATCCCACCGCCCCGCCGCACCGGGGGGGTCCCACCGCCAAACCGGGATGTCCCGCTGCCACACCGGGATGTGCCACCGCCGCACCGCGATGTCCCAGCACCACACCGGGGTGTCCCACGGTGGCCAAGCACGGCGGGTCGGGAGCCCGTGCAGTGACATTCGCGGGGATGAGGGCGAGGGGATGCTCGGCTCGCGGTGCGGGGATGCCGCTTCCCGCAGCACCGGGCGGGCAGCCGGTGCGGGGCTGAGCCGAGCCGAGCCGAGCCGAGCGCGGTGCCGCGGGGAGCTGCCCGGGGGAGGCTCGGCGCGGGGCAGGGGGTGCGGGTCCGGCGGCCCCGGGGCTGCGGCACTTACCGGGGTCGAAGTGGGAGCTGAAGGCGAGGCTGGGGCTCAGGAAGGCGGCCGCCATGGCAGCGGCGGCGGCGGGGAAGCGGCCCATGGCGCGGCGGCGGCGGGAGCCCCACGGCCGCCGGCTGCCGCTGGCCCCGCGCTGGGCACGGCGGCGGCGGCGGCGGCGGCGGCGGCTCCTCCTCCATGGCGGCCCCGCGGCCCCGCGCCCCGTGCCCCGGGGAGGGGCTGCGCCGCCGCCGAGCAGCGGGACCGGGCGGGCGGGGGCGGCAGGTGGAGGAGCCGCAGCCCCGGGACCGCACCGGGACCCGCGTCCTCCCCTCCGGGATGCGCCGCCGCCGCCCCCGCGCGGTCCCGCCGGGATGGAGGGAGCCCGTGAGGACCCCCCGAACCGGGACGGGACCCCATCCCTGAGCGGGGGGCAGCCGCCACCCCGTAGCGGGGCCGAGACCCCCCGAGAGCAAAGCCAGGTCCCCCTAAGCAAGGCTGGGAGACTGCAGGGGCAGCCAACCCCCAGAGTGGGGATAGAATCCCCCTGCAGCAGGGCTGGGACCCCCAGTAGTGGAGGTGAGACCACTCGGAGCAGGGTCAGGAGCCCCCCAGGCAGGGAACTGCTCCCATACTGACCCATTGCAGGCACCACTGGCTTCCTGGGAGCAGCGATGGGACATGGGACAGGACCAGGGATGGAACATGGGACAGAACAGGCAGCTCTGCGCCCCAGCCAGCCCCTCAATCCCCAGCCAGCCCCTCCTCACACACATCCCCTGCTCCACATCTCTGCCCCAGCACTCCATCAGAGCCTCACCCTGCAGCCCCCCAGCCCCATCCTGAGGGGGGAGCGGAGCCCCCCCAACCGCCCCCAGCCAGGCCCATGGCACAGGGTCCCCTTTGTGCTGTGGGGCTGCCCCATGTGGGGCCACACGGTTCGGCCTCGTCTGCTCGACACCACAGCCCTGGCACATCGGAGTGTGCCCTGGAAACATGGGATGCTCCAAAACCTGACATTCCCGATTCCCATAGCAGGGGAACATCCCACAGCTTCACACACAGCCCCCAGCAGCTCCCAACCCAACCTGGCAAAGCTGCAGCCACAGCTGGTCACCAAACCCACCCGGGAGCCAGGCTGGACTTTCCTCCAGGGTCACGGTGGGACAGTCCTGTCCCATCCTGTCCCAAGCCATTCCCAGGACCCCCTGTCCGGACCCTTGGCCCACCCCATGGCAGGCTCAGCTTTGAGCACGGGGCTCACACATCCCCACCGTTGGTTTGAATATTTAAAGCCAAATTTTGCGTACACGATTAATTTTTTACAAGCCTTCAAGCCTGCACAGAACAGCACCACGCTGCACATGTCACGTTGCCACAAATAGACACAGGCCTGGAAAAATTACCGGCTGCTGGGAGAACAAACATGCTGGAGCCAGCTTCTGCCTTCTCCCGCGCCTCTGCATTTCTCTGCCGTGGAGCAGCTCTGACCCACACAGCCCTCAGGCCCCTCTGCCAGGGGGAGCAGGGCACTGCTGGCCCCCCATCACTCATTTTGGTGACCCCCCAGTGGGGAGGCTGGCACGGGCACCCCAGTGGCCCCCACCAGCCCCCCACCAGCTCCCTACTGGGTCCCTGATCCCTTCTGGGTGTGCAAAGGGCCACATTAGCACTCGTGGGACTCCCCTGAGCTCCACTATACACCCTCCCTGGCCCCAGAGCAGCCAAGCCAATGTGGCACCACCCCGGCATGGTGCCCAGCACCCTGGGGGGGGGATTTAGGCTCTCTTTGGGCTGGGGTGACACTGGCAGCCACTGGAACGGCCACAGTGCTGTGGGAGCGGGTGGCCACGTGCCACAGGGGCAGATTGCCCGGCCAGCCCTGCCCCATGTGCAGCACCAGCTGAGTCACATCCAGGTGGGATGCAGGGGGGGGCCGCTGTGCTGAGCCCACACCAGGCACCCAACTGCCCCCAGCATTCCAAAGACACGCCTCCAGTCCCAATGGGGGTGAGAGGACGGTGAGCTCAAGGCCTTCCCAGCACTGGGAAGGGACAGCATGAGCTTCAGAAAGCAGGGGGGGATGAAATCACCTGGCTGTCATGTTGGGGGTGACAGCCCTGGAACCCAGTGTCCCTTCCTGCCCGTGCCTGGGACAGGTTGGGATGGGATAGGGATGAAGACTGGGATGGGAATGAGGATGGGAGGGGGAGGAAGGTGAGGATGAGGGTGGGATGGGATAGGATGAAACGGGGATGAGAATGAGGATCAGGGAGGAATGGAGGTGAGGATGGGATGGGGAAAAGGACAAGGAGAGGAGTGGAATGGGGATGGCCCTGCGATAAGGATGGGATAGGGGGATGAGGATGGAGTGTGTGCCTACCCAGCTGTGCTGGGCCACCCTGCCTGCCATCCTTGTGAAGATCCAGGACCCTCAGCCAAGCTGGGACCCCGAGCACGGCAGCCCCACGCCTGGGCACCCTCCCTGCCCAGGTGACAGCCCCTGTAGCTCCATTTGACGTGTCCATGAGCAGCCTTGAGCCATGTCAGGGTCATCCAGATGCACCGCCTGCCCGTGCCCCTGACATCCACCTCCCAGACTGAGCAGTGCCACTGCCATCGCCCCAATTAGCAGGAGAGATTACAGATCCTTCCCAAGGGAAGATTACCCTGCTTGGATCCTGCCACTTGCTCCGGCTTCCTGGCTGATTTGTCTGGGGCTGTAGCTAATCCCCTGCGGGGCAGACACCAGCTTGAGCTGCGATCCCCGCGCGGCGGCTGCCAAAAGCCCCCTGTGCTCCTGACCTCCTTCCCGGCCCAGCGGCCTAATCCGGGGGATGGGGGGGAGAGGGGCTCCTTAACCGGGGATCAGAGCCTTAACCGGGGCTCCTTAACCGGGGATCAGAGCCTGCAGTGGCCGCATGGTCACTGCCAGCCTGGCTGAGCGCCCGCCGTGCCACGGCCCGGCAGGGACAGGGACAGGGACAGGGACAGGGACAGGGACAGGGACAGGGACAGGGACACGGCTCGTGCCATGTGGCCGGCGCTCCCGTGGGACCCCCGAGGGGCGGGAGGTGGGCGCCGGCGCAGGCACAGGCAGCCATCCGGTGAAAATCCGCATCCCCGTTATGCAACGGCGCTGATTTATTCATGCCTGAACCGGGCACTGGCCTAGAAATTAGCCCTGGCAATCCGGGGAGGGGCCGGAGCACACGGAGCTCCGGGGCAGTGGCGGGAGCAGGGCCGGGCACAGGGGACACCCTGGGACTGCTCACCCCACAGTGGCGATGCTGGACAGGGCTCCAGGTCCTACACCAGGCCCACAGCCCCCTGGATGAGCAGGGAAGGGGCTGAGCCCCCTTCTCCCACACCAAATTTCCCTGAGCAGGAGCTGCCAGCACAGGCTCAGGATGGCCCATGTGCAGGCCATCCAGGGGTGGAGGTCAGAAGCAGAGCTCAGGAAACTCCTTGGAAAAGCAACAACAGTGGGAAGAAGTGCTTTCCCAGGGTGAGTGTTCTATCCTGGCCCAACAGGCAGAGGGGAACAGAGACTGGCATGGCCACGGCTCTGCTGAACAGGACCCAGGCACCCACTGCCACTCGTGCCCCCAGACACCCACGTCAAGGGAGCAGGGATAAAGGGTTTCCATGGGCTGTCTTGGGATCACTGCCCTGGGAGCCGCAGCAGGAGCCCACCCCAGGATGAACACAGTGCCAGGAAGTGGCTGAGCTCCTCTGCAGCTTCCTGTGGTTCCATGTGACTATGGGGGCTCTGGCAGCGCTGCTGTGGGGCAGGGGGAGGCCCCAGCCAAGCACAGGAACATATGGGAAATATCCCAGGACTCTGGGAGGGACCAGGACCAGGACCAGGCTGTGGCTGAGCGGCTGCATATTCCCAGAGAGGAAACAGATGCCACCAGCCCAGCCCAGGAGTTTCCCGGCCCTGTCGGGCGTGCTGAGAGATTTGCAGGTAGCAGAGGCTGTGGGATCACATCCTGCCCTGGCTCTGCCTTCCTGCATCCTCCTGGATATTTCAGTTTAGAAGGGGAAGCAAGGCACAGAGCAGGGCACCAGGCACCCTCGGAGCAAGGGATGGTCTCGGGGTGCAGGAGTCGGGTAGGGAGGGTAGGAGCGGGCACAGACCTTGCAGAAGAGCCAGCCCTGGCAATGACATGCACAGTTACAGAACCAGCTGTAGAAACCAGCACAGATTTATTGTCAGAACAAAACTCCTAAACATCTAAAGGCCACCAAGTGTCCTGGCATGGTCATGGCACCAGGACTGGGCTGTGGAGAACGAGGGCTGAGGGAGGGGAGAGCCTGAGCCCGACCCCAGCCCCCAGCAGCCCCACGGAGCACCCCGGCCCCGCTCCCTGCCCGGCAGGACGGTCACTCCGTGGCCAGCTGCCTCTGCTGCTCCAGGAGGGACTCCAGCAGGTTGGCTCTCTGCATGGCTGCCTGCAAGGGAGCACATGGGGGGAGCTCACAGTGCCCAGCAGGGTCAGAGCCAGGGGCAGGGTCAGAGCCAGGGGCAGGGGCAGGGCTGCCCCACTCACCTCGTACTGCTTCCGCAGGCTGCTCACGCTCTCCTCCTTCCTCTGCACCGCTGACTTCACCCTGCATGGACAGCGGGATGAGGACCCCGACCCCGGAGCCCAGCCCCAAACACCGGGCTGGGCCCTGCCCAGGGGGTGATTTCAGTCCTGGGGAGTTCAGCCCCTCTCCCCCATCACAGGTCTTGTGTGTGCCACGGCACAGCCCTCAGGAGCTGACAGTGATCCTGGCCAGGGCTCCTGCCAGGGAGGGATGCAGATGGAGCTGCACTCCCTTAGCCCTGCTCTGCTCCACCCAGGCTCCCTCACCTCCTGTGAACCTCCTCCAGCTCCCGGTCCTTCTCCCGCACCAGCCTGTCCAGCTCCAGGCGCTGCCGGGCCCTCAGCTCCGCCATCTCCGCCTTCAGCTGCGCGTTCTCCTCCTCCATCCCCACCAGCTTGTCCACGAATTCCTGCAGGATCCTCTTGGTCAGGCCGCTGTGCTCCTGGGCCAGCCGGTCCTGCACCGGCATCCAGGCACAGGGCAGAGGGGTGGGAGATGGAGCCAGGCAGGGCCCAGGCTCTGCTCCTCTCCCA